TGGTTTTCCTTGTGTAGTGGAAGCCCAAGTTTGTTGCAAAGAAAGCTATTCTAAGTGACTATAGTTAATTTTCTTTGTTTTAACTTTTCCTTTAGTACTGTTTCTATTATTATCTTAATACAAAAGTGCTTTATTTTCGATTTTTCCTTTGCTCCAGTTTTGGTCACAGTGATCGATGGGAAGAGTGAATAACTTATTATATTAATACTTTGTTTATTTGTTATTTTACTAGTTATTTTACTTGCTATTTTATCAATTTGTTTACCAAAAAATACCTATAGTGATATATAAAATATTAGATCATTTTGTAATTATACTTTTTAATATATATAGTATTAATAATTAGTATTATTTTTTTTAATATAAATTTTTAAACTTTACTCAATACAATATATCTATAAATTATATGGTTTTCAAGTAAAATAGCAGATATATAATTAAAGAATCCTGTTTGATATTTAATTATAACTGCAGTCTAATGTTTGCAAGAAGCTCTATCAAGTATTACAAGACATATATATATTTCTACCGATGGATTAACAATATAAAACTCATTTGTATTTGTACTAGGTACAATATATACATTGCTTAAATTATCAAAATAAATTTTTTATTGATCAATTTGCTGCTATCCAGAATAAAAAAATCACTTTAATAGTTCAAGGTGACCAGGATGATAGTTTGCAATAGCTATTATCCTTTGTTTATAAAAATATTTTATATTTTCTATAATAAATTAAAATATTTGTATAGTATTATATGTTTGTGTTCAAGAAAAAACAATATTTTTGATAATATCAAAGCTCTGTTCAATATAATTGTTGGTATAGTTTCTGTGAAGTAATAAATATTGCTAAAATAATAGTGTTCAGACTGCTCTTTGTTTTCAAAGATGTGTAAGATATATAGCAAGTTGTGAATATTTTGTAAAATATTAATTTTTTAATATAAAATAATTAAGTTCTATTTTAGAAAGAATAAATATATATGTTGTGCCTCATATCCTTTTTCACGTCAGATCGAAGATAACGCACCTCAGATGCCGATCATTAGGTGAGGTGCGTAACTTCTAGATCGGTCACCTAAGGTGCCTCAAACCGTAATATGACACAGATAATCATTTAACAATAGCGATTAAAAAAATTACGACATTTATCATGCAAAAAGTTTGTAATTCTATTAATTTTTAATCAATATGTAGTAAAAGATAGTAAATGATAGTAAATGATAATAATATGTTTGTAAGAACGTTTCAAATATGAATTCAAGCAACTGAATGTAAATTGGTCAGAGCCAAATGGATATATAAGTCTTTTGCCTGGGCTTCGTTTATTTTTTGGCCTCTTGGCATTACAAAAAAAAAAAAAAAACTTTTCTTTGGCTTATTGAGTTCTTTAACCTTCATTAAATATGGAATACACCTTCATTAGTAAAAACACCTTAGAACAAATTGTAAATAATTATATACTTAACCTTCCTGAATCAAAATGCGAAAAAGCTTTAATCAACTATAAGCTTTTGGTGAAAATAAAAACTATTTTATTAAACCTCAAAGATCATATATTATATAATAAAAACACTCGCAGCTGGGCCAAGAAAAAATTCTAGCTTGAAGAGATCACACCTAGTGATCATAGAGTAATTGAAAAAGAAATGAGTAACACTGTTTTAGTAAAGGAAAAATTTTATAAAGTTCTTTGTCAAGTTCATAGTAAGGTTACACAACATAGAGGACAAAAACAGACATGGAAGTTTGTGTGCGAAAGGTGAAGCTAGATCAAGCAGGATATTATTGAAAAGTTTGTCAATAATTGCACTGTGTGTGCCATTCGTAAGCCTGCGTTTCACCCTCTAGCAGCCAAGCCAATAATAGCTAATAATTTTTTGTCACGTATCCAGGTAATTCATTACTTACTTTGAATAATTTATATTTTTATTTTATATTTATAATTAAATTTTTATTTTTTTTTTATTACAGATGGATCTAATTGACTTATCTTTTGATCTGGATGAAGAATTTAAGTATATTTGTCACTTAAGGGATCACTTTATCAGGTTTTCCTGAGCAAGGGCCCTCACTTCTAAAAGAGCAATCGAGGTTGCAGTGTACTTGTTAGGGTTCCAACCCAGTTTGAAAATCCCTATCCGTAACCCATTGGGTCAGCCATCTTTCCCAACTGGGTACCCGAAACTAAAACCAGTTATCCGATTAAAACGGGTCACCTGGTTGTAATTGGGTGACCCGGCTATCTGAATAAAATAGGTCACCCGATTATAATCGAGTAACCCAGATAAAAGTCAAGTAAACGATACAATCACACTTTCATAAATTAATTTTTGTTGGTTTACCGTGATAATTAACCAATCAAATATATAATTTTTAATTAATACTACTAGAAAACGAAAGAAACTTCGTGTAAAGAAACTTGCAAACCAATAAATATACATGAAAAAATTTATTATTTATATGTAGAGAATGGATATATACACGTAAAGTAGGTAGATATTTATTACTAACAAACCCAACCCTATTAAAGAATCTACCATATAGGATATAAATTAAACTTTTAACTATTAATCTACAGTTAATGCACTACAAGAACTGACCAAATTTAAATATTAAGCCCAGATCTTCTCTGCTAAAGAATTTAAATTAAAAAAGTTAGAAATAAAAGTTTATTCAAATCTAGTGTAATAAAATAGTTTTAGATGAAAATGTTTTAGGTTACCTTTACTTTACAGTATAATTTAATATAGTCAGTATTAGTAAAGATCAAAAAAAATAAATAAAATAAAATAAAAATTGGGTTAAAAGTAAAATAGTAAAAACATAAAAAAGAATAAACATACCATAAGCTATGGCGAAACTAAAAAAAAAAAAGTTAAATCGCATAGTTTAAATAGATTACAAGCTAAATAAAAAGTTTTAAAATATTCAAAAAGTAGCTCTTATCTAACTTCCGAATTATCTTGCTGATTGCCAAATTACTTTGATGTCTTGTAGAGAAGAAGGTATAGTTTTTAAATTTTTATACCACAATTCGTATTGTGATTCTCGTGATGGAAAATCATAATACTTTAGTATCGATTATCTATTTACCAACTGGGTCACCTATTGTAAAATGGGCCACTTGCTACCTGTTGTAAAACGGGTCACCTATTTATCAAAAAAAATAATCCAGTTGGTAAATTTCACGGTTCGGGTTATCGGGTTCACAGTTACCCAGGTTATAGTTTGGATCTCTAGTACCTGTTTGAACTTTTTAATTTACTTGGATCATCACTGATGATTCTACAGTCGGATAATGGAAAGGAGTTCATTGCTCAAGTTATTAAAGAACTGATTGAGTTATGGCCATCTGTAACTTTAATAAATGGAAGACCCTGCCACCCTAATCACAAGGGCTCATTGAACGAGCAAATGAGATATTGTAGCAAAAATTAGAAAAGTGGCAAGAAAATACTGGTCATAAGAACTGGTCATTTGGTTTGAAATTTGTTGTCACCGTGATGAATAATTCATGGTGTCGCTCTCATAAAAAAACACTATTTAAACTTGTTTATGGCTATAAGCCATGTGGAAGCAATATTTTGGTGAATGAATTATATAAAAAAAAAATTTATAATGAAGAGGAGATTCCAAATACGGTTCAGATCGAAATCGATAATATATTAAATTTGGATGATGATATAGAAGGCATGTTTTTTTTTTATTGGTTTACTTGTTTATTCATTTATTATTTCTTTACTCATAATAACCTTTTAGATCAAGATCTGAACCAACCTAATGATTATGATGATTCTTTGGACAATGTTGATACTGATGCCAACACCAACATCGATGCCAACACCAATGTTGATGCCAACACCAACGTCAATACCAACACCAACGTCAATGCCAACACCAACGTTAATACCAACACTAACGTCAATGCCAATACCAACATCGATGCCAACACCAATGTCGATGTCAACACCAATGTTGATGCCAACACCAACGTCAATGCCAACACCAACGTCAATGCCAACACCATTTTTGATGTTGATGCCAATGTTGATATCAATGTCAATACTAACATTGATGCCAACACTATTTTTGATGTCAATACTAATACCAATAACAATGGTAATAAATAATTTAAATTTGGCTTTTGTTTTATTATATAATAGAATCTAATTCTTCAGACTAACTTTCAAATACAGTTCTAGCTGATATCACGAAGCAAGACTCCAATATTATACGATATGAAATTCTACGAACTATTGCTCAAAAAGATCTTCAACAATATACTGAAAAGATGACTAAACAGATGTTGAATAAAAGAAAATTAAATAATTTTAAGGTTGGGGACCTTGTTCGGATAAGCATTCCTAAAATAGATTAGTTTGGTATCGATCGCCCCTCTTTGCCTTGTAAAATTTTAGAAGAAACTGGTGAGCAACAATTCCAACTAGGATGTAAGTTCAGCACAATCAATGTATATTACTCTTTAGGTGAACTTGAAGAACTTGGAACTTCAACTTACCCCGAACTTAGTACTTTCCACCTGGCAAAATATCTGCTCGCGAGGCATCACGGCTCCAAAGTGTTGGAATGGTATCGAGTTCTGTTTGCAGTTGTAAAGGTTCGTGTGATACTAATAGGTATAGATGTAAAAAGGTCGAAGAAAAATACACAAGTCGATGTCATAGTGGGCGGTTCTGTTTGAATAAAAATTAGAATTTTATTTTTAATTTAATATGTAAAGCTATAATAAATAAATAAATTATATTGCTTTTAATTAGTTTACTATAGAGTGATAAATTATGTACGTATTAAATTTAAAATAAAAAAAAGTGATTATATTTTAACTTGTGCCTCATATTATGCTTTGAAGCACCTCAGATGACTGATCTAGAAGTTACGCATCTCACCTGACGATCGGCATCTGAGGTGCGTCATCTTCGATCTGACGCGGGAAAGGATATGAGGCACAACATATACATTGCACTATGCGATGTGCTAATTTATCACATATATATTTTAAATTATAATTTGTAGATCCGTGTAACAAGAATTTTATATACACGAATACTAGATTAGAATTAGAATTAGGGTTAAGATTAGTAGTTAGTAGTCAGAGTAGAGTGTAGTATATACCAAAATTTTGTGAGAAATTTTTTTTGTTAGAGCCCAAAAAGCAGTTTCATAAATGGTAATTCGAGCTATTTCAAAATTTTAAAAATTTCTTTATTTTTATTATACAAAATTAATTTGCATATTACACCTGATCTTCAAATTTAATTGGCCAATTCTTAAAATGTAATGTATAAGCACATTACAGCATGTGATATCTAATTAAGTCCTTTTAGAAATTGTAAATAAGTATAAAACTTTTTTAAATAGCTGCATAATTAGTAATCTATTATTTTTGTGAATTTTATATTTAGAGTTATATAACCAATACCAAAGTGCTTGTAAAATATAAAAAATACATAACAGTTTCACACAATTGGGCCAGCAAAATGAAATAGCATTATGCTCTACATATGAATTATTAGTTATAATAATTGCTAGTTCAAGTTGTACTTTATGTTCATAGAATATATTGTTTAGCAGTATTGTTTTTAATAAATTAATAGCATTTTCAATAATAACTTTGGCCTTATTTAAAGTTAAAAACAATTTTAAGAGCAGTGTTCTAGCAGCACAATTTGTGTAGAGAAGTAAAATAGATGTATTCAGCAAATCAAAAAAAGCTAATGCATTAAAGTAACATAATTCACCAGCCTGATGAATTTTCTCATGAACTCTTTTTATCAAATTCATTACAACATATAAAATAAAAGGATATTGTATAGTTGAATTGTATATTTGAAATGTAGCTTTTTCTTTACCAGAATTATTGTAAAATTTTATAACTTCTTGCAACTATTCAAATATTCCTTTTCTATTTTGATCACCCAACTGAACAGCTTAAAACTTACTATAAAGGTATTTTACAAATTTATTATCTGGATTTTTTGATTTATCTGCCAATAATCATGCAAGTTCATCATTATTAAATATAGATAAGGTAGCATTTATAATTTACGTTAAATCAGTATTGTTATAGAAATCTTAAAGATAATACAAAAATAATATTATATGGTATTATTATCAAGATTTTTATTTCTATACAATACAGTACTAGTTTAATATAAATTATGAATGCTGCCTAAATGTAACTCATATTCATAAATATAATGTACACTGGCTGCTGAATGCCCTATATTAAATAATTCAATATATCTATTTTGAACCTCAAGTTCTACTGGTTGAAAGCTTAATGAAGCAGCAGAATCAGGTGATGATTGTGTGTAAAATGAAGATTAATTTCAAGAAAATTATTATTTTTTATTCTAAGATCAAGTATTATAATATATTCTGTATTCCTATTTCGCAAACTATAGTAGTTTTTAATTTTGTGGTTTTTATTTTTTTGCCTTACTAAATAACTATGAATACAGTGCTATGTTTCTCTAAAAATGACTTTATCTCCTTTAACAGGATAAGTTCGAGTTAAGCATATAGTAGTTTTTGATTTTTGTTAAAACTCATCAAGCCATCATAAAGCACCATCTTTAGTATCAATGTTTGTAAATAAATCAACAACGATTTGCCCAATTATCACATTTTCAGATGTAATATTTGGCTTTAATTCATTATAATTTTCAACTTGGTATCAATAATTTGATGGAAGTATTTGCTGGAGTGGCAAAGGTAAATTTGACAATTCAATTTGGTCCTAAATTATATAGTTTATTGGATTTTTACATTATTTAAAACATCATTCACATATTATATACATGCCTGTGAAAAAATTTGCATCGTTACTTGTAAATTTTTATTTTAGATTTAAGAAAAAAAGAAAGTAAAAATTTATTTTTTATTTTGTTTATTTATCATCTCAATAATAGCAATTGCATAATTAATTTGATTAATAATAATTTCAACGTCATTTACAGGTACGTATGTACGTACTGATGTTCTAAACGATTGAATTTCCAATTTCCGGTCGGTCTTCCGGACCAACCTTGTACTAAGCAAATGACTGTGACTTAGGGATGGATCGGTCCGTCCCGATCAGTCCCAGTCCCTATAAGACCGATTTTATAATGTTTATTAGTCCGGTCGGTCCGTCTTTTCGGTCTTAGAATCGGTCTCACAACTTTTAATTTTTCAATGCATAGCATTAAAATTTTTATTTATTAGCTGCCAAATTTTTAAAAATTTATAAAAAAATACAGCACATTAAATTTATATTATAAAAAATACAACACATATTAAATTTATATTATAAAAAATACAGCAACGTAAATATGAATATGTATTTTATATGTGAAACTAATTAGAGATGTTCAACAATTGCAAATTCCTTTTTATCTATTAGTATCAATTCATCAATACGAAAAAATATATATATTTTTCTGCGGTCACAAAACAAAGTAACCTTGAAATAGTTTTGGTAACTGTGCTGAAATATAATAGTTAATATTTTGCTTTATGAATTCGCATTCCAAATTGTACAATATGTTGTAAAAGATATTACTAAATTTGAAGAGGAATAATCAGTAAATTAAGAATTTTTATATAAATACATTCTCAGAATAAAATAGTACGACTTTATTTACAAATTTCATTATCTTATACAAAAAAAAAAAAAGACTAGCGATCTCTAATGACATTTCCTTTACCGTCTCTTTTATTTCTTTTTCGATCATCTTTCGATTTGTCGATTGATCAAATTCACAGAAGAACGATCGACAGTTTGAACTTCTTTGCATACATGTTCAATTTATAATTAGAACCTACTTTTCCATGTGCATTTCAAATTCCTTAACATTCTTATTCATTTCTTCATAATGACTATTGTTCGCATTACTGTCGATAGTAGATCGACATTTGAAAAGTCACAAAATCAAATTTATTATAAATAAATTGGGAAAATCATTTGCAATAAACCAGATTTCAATCCAATAATCAACTTTATAAACAAAATTCCGAAAACAAATGCAGGCTAACCTATCGGGATTTTGAATTTGCCGGTATCTTGCTTGTTAAGATTTTGACCTGCTCTAGAGGCACCCTCATTTATGTTCTGGGAATTGGTGATATACTGTTGTTGGTTTATGAGATGAGTGCAAAGAATTCGGTATTCAAAGTGATGTTTTTTTGATGAATTTAATAAGTTTCAATATAACGATGATTCTCCAAGATTTTTTGTGGCATCTTGATATTAAAGCCGTTGTGAATCGTCATGCGTAATTTCCAAATTTTCATCTTACTAAATCTATTATTGACCCAAGGAACTTTCCAAATGACACATTAAAAAACGATAACGCATTTTATTCAAGTATTAAACAAAGCTATAAACGGCAACCGTATAATATTTCGCATGTAATGAGTCAAAAGCCATCAAAAGGTGAGCTTCAAACAAGAAGTATTAATCAGTGTTGGGCAAATTAGTGGTCGACCAAAAATTTACTGGTCAAATTGGTTAAATGGTCAAATCTATTATATAAATATAATATATATATACTATATACATAATAAATTATATTTAAATATACTATTTGACCAATTTGACTAGTACGGATCCTTTGACAGACCGGTCAAATTGGTCAAATTGGACTGGTCTAATGGTCAAACTGGCCTGGTCAAGCCAACAATGGTATTAATGTAGAATTATCAGTATAAAGAATTGACGTTACTATTAGAATAGATAAATAAGTATTAATGTACAAGTATCGCCAATGAAATCTGGAAATCTTTATAGTGATTTCTAGACTTTCGTTTAGCGATACTCATGTAATTAATGTAGTGTTAAATATTCGGAATACTAATAGGAGGAAAGTTTACCAAATCTGGATAACAAACCGGGTATTCGAATTTTCGGGATCTTCTCCAGCATCGCCAAAATCTTACACACTTACGCACACGTGATGCACAACTAAATTCGGTTATGTTTAATTAGGACGTTTGTTTTGGATTTTCCTGATCGTGATGTTATACCAAAGCGTGGTTCACTTCTGTGATAGTTTCATATGACATCATTGTGATAACTTTTATTTTTTCACGAAGCTAGAATATGGCTCAGTAACAAATATTTGAAGTTATTTGTCGATCATGTATCGGGTATCAGTATACATTTTAGTTTAATTAAATTGAATTATAATGTGCGATCGTAGTTCGTTAATGATAACCTTTAATTTGATTGGCTATATTGAATTCGTGGTTAGAGTACGTATACTCTTTACGTACGTACGTACGGTATTGCATTTTTGTTTACAAGTTAATAATTCATGAATTATCATTGGTGCTTATAACCGATAACTAATCAATTACGGTTAATTTTCTAATAAATGGATCAATGCAATTTTTGTGACACCCCATCTAAGTGAATAAATAGTTATTATTTAGTCTCAAATTCTGCACCGCTATCCGACTAAAAAAATTACTGTTTAATTTTTCTTTAAACTTCTTACATACATAACATACATTGTTTTGCCGATATGTTGCCTTTTAAAAGAACTTATGAATCTTCTGTGGATCCTGAAGATATTCGTGATATTGAAGAAATTGAATCCAATAAACATTTTTGTTCGCAACAGTTTCAAGCACGTGACTTTTTACAGTTTCAGCAACAAATTTTCTTTGATTCTCACCTATATGCTCAAGATGATTTATCTATGATAAATGATTTCGAATTGTATTCTCAGATTCAACCTCCAACGTCAATATCTGTTAATGTAATGGATCCAACTCCATCTACAAGTATTGACGATAAATCATCTCTAACGTCTGAAGAGTTTCAACGTCTCAAGAAAATTGTCGATATATTTATGAAATCAAATAATTCTTCTAATATAACTTCTTCTTTAAAAAACCGGGATTCAACTTCTATTATTCTTAATTTTTCAACTTGCATTAATGAGCAAACTGATATAAAATTAATATCTTCTCCTTTAAATTCTTTAATTAATTCCACTTTTCTAAATTATTATTATTTAGTTGATTTGATTTTAAAAGTGAACAAAAACATGAACACTAATTCAACTTTTTTAAGTCAAGATATAAGATCCCCAAAATTGACTACCTATTGTATAAAATACACAAATAATACTCGCACATTTAGCCCATCTGGGCTTTCGATAAATCCTTCATTAAATGATCTTTGTAGAAGTTTGATTAATCTTTATTTTACAAAACTTAATCCTATCATTCCTCTTATTCATCCAAAAAGATTTCGTGATCAATGCGAAAGAAAAAAAACAAAACATTTTGAATTATTACTTCACTCTATTTTAACCATGGTTTCTGTAAGATTTCCTTGTGATCCTTCTTTAAAACAATCTTCAAAAACACCGGCTAGTATTTTCTTTAATTCTGCAAAGGTATGGTATATGCTACATAATATCATTATTTTTTTCGTAATACGTATCTTATCAAAAAATATCAACATATATATATATATATATATATATATTGTATATATCGTTATTGTAGAAACTATTGGATACAATGTATGATACTCCAAGATTGGAAACTATACAATCATTATTGCTTTTAAGTATGTCTGAACTTATTCCATCAAGATTCGATAATGGTTACATGTTTCTTGGTATGGCCAGTAAGTACTGTTAATTTTTATGTAATCTAAGGATTTTTACGTAATATAGGTATAGATATATAATATATATATTTTAAATAGTTCAAATGGCACATCTGTTACGTATTGATGTAATCGATAATTCTTTGGATCCTGCTGAGAATGAAGAAAGACAAAGAATTTATTATTGTCTATATATCCGTGATAGGTATGTACATGTAATTTATATTTTAAATATAAAATATAGCAATAATCCTAAAACATTGCAAATTCCATTAGATGGCATTCATTTGTTTTAGCAAAACCTCCTGCGCTCGATTACGTGCCAAATCGAGTTCCTTTACCAAAATTAGTTTCATTTCCTCAATTAGTGAAAGATCATTTTATAGCGTTTGTAGAGCTTTCGCATATTCTTGGACGCATTTGGACATTCGGTTATTCTCTGAGTTCTAAACCATCATATAAAGACTGGCGCCATCATTTAGCAAATCCTGCAAGTGATCTTATGAAAATACGTTCTGCATTAGCAAATTGGTTAAAAAAATTACCAAACACTTTACAATATCTTTACCTCCCTGCTACGGATCTGAGAAGTATTTATCAACTAGCAAGCTTTTCTGATTTTACCGGTAATTTATCTTATTTATAATTCATATCTTTAAATAGATTTATGTATATATATATATATATATATTTTATATATTTTATTGTTATTTTAGGATATATAAATATACTTTTTCATACTTGCATAATTCTTACGCATAAAATTTATATACCTGAAACCCATACGGCTCAAAATCTTAAATCATTACAACATAGCCCAATTCAAATTTGTCTCAATTCTGCTGTTGCAATTATTGATATTACAAAAACGACTCGTGAATTCGACGCTGATGCATTTTATCACTTTGCTTCTGCAATCTATGGTCTATTACAAGCCACAACTATACAACTCGTTATTATGAATATATCAAAAGAATATAAATCTATCGTTAAATTATCATTAGAAAATTCTGTCAAGGAAGTAAAGTTGGTTTCTAAACGTTGTGCTCTTCGTATATTACAGGATGCTGCAAACGAATTAGAAAATATTGTAAAAGTCATTAATGAATTGAAATCTTCCAATGATATCTCTCAATCATCTGAATTTCAAGACGACCATAATAATGATGATGATGGACTTTCAAGCCTATAATTGTTTTTTGTTTTTCCTCGAATGTTTTCAACTTCGATTACAAAAAGATAAAAATTTAAGATGTAACTATCAATATCACAATGTAAAACGTAAAATCAATAAGTTTATGCGTATATAGGACCTTTAAGATACTGATACGAAAATATGTTCGACCGTAGGCATGATCGAAATAACATTAACTTTTTCATCTGTCATATTTTTTTTAGACTTCTTTTTAAAGAATTAACTTTTCTTCTAAAGTAGCCTGTATTCAATGAAACATTATACTTAATCAAATTAAACGTCTACGAAATAAATACTTAAGGTTTAACATTATAAGATCATAAACGTATTGCGTAGCAATACCAAGGAATTATTATACTTTTATACATCGTGTAAAGGATCTAGTCTAACATGTTCCAACATGCTTTCTACGATACTAAATAAAGTTTCAGATTTTTGAGGCAAACTTACTCCATCTTTCAGTACCAATGTAATAAGCTTGAATATTTATAGGTCATGAAAAATCATAAAAACTTAATCAAATCACTAGGATGAATGTTTTTGTTTGATTTCCTATATCACAATGAATCAAACATAAACTACCTAGTTAAAATATTTAAATTTTAAAATTTCTTATAAAATGGCATCAAAAAACCTTTCGTTAAATTTAATATCGAAGAAAAATGGCTCGTCTTATAAACTGTCTTCCATTAACATTCTTGATTTTTTGCCTAATTGTATGCGCTATCGCATCTACAATCCCGTTGTCAGAAGAATCTACATATAATGAAAACCTTCTAAATTCTGACAATATGCTACAAACAGAAACGACTATCGCTGACATGAAAAACATCCCGAAATACACGGTGGAAGAAATCAAATATGAAAATATTCCTGAAAAAGAATATATCTACCAATTGGAGCCTATTTCAACCGATTCGGTCGAAACAAATAATATCAACATTAATGAAGTAGACTCTTCTCAATTTCGAAGAATAGGGTTTGGTGGTCGTATGTATAGCTTTCGTCGTGGATTCTTTAACGTCCGGTATCGTTTCGGTATGATGATGCCATTTAGACCTTTTGGGCGCAGTTTTTATAGAATTTGTTATCCGATTATGTTTAGGGGGTCAATGTGTAGATATGCTTTCATGTAGAAGGATGAAAATTGTAGTTTGAATTTATTTATTAAATAATTTCATATAGATGGTGGTTAATAAAGAATAAAAAATTTTGTTTACACGTAAAGCTCTCACACCTTTTGGATACTAAAAAGCGTGATTATGAAGAAATGTGCTAATTATAGAAGTCAAATTTATTATATATATATATAATATATATGTTGTACGTTGGAATGGAATTCAGATAGGTTTAGAATCTACTTAAGTAGATTCTAAATAAACATAAGTTACAATGGAATTCTAAATCGTGTTCAAGTTGCTAAAGAATTCAAAATTAACTTATATTTAAATGTAATATATTCTAAATAAATTTGACGAATATGTTATTTTAGAATTTAAGTAGATTTGGAATTTATTTAAAAAGCATTTTATATTGCAAATTATTGCTTAATACTGCAGAACTAACATTACATAGTATTTTTACATTGATAATTGCTAGGATGACAGCTACTACCACACGGTACATTTGCTTTTTTACATTTACAGAAATTTTTTTCACAAGAATTTTTGCAATTACATTTTATGTTACCTGTTTCTGATGCGGATTGTGCAAATGCTGCTTCTCGAATGCTAATAAAAGTTGAAGAAATGTTATTTAATTCTGGAAATTCATTGGAACCCAAAGAAAGTAGTTTATTAGCATTGTAGGTTGTTCAAATAATGCCAGATTTACATCCAATCTTGTATCATTTTTCAAAATTTCAAGAATCTTACATGGTTATGTTTTTTAATCACTGTGTGTTCTGTCAATTTCAGGAATTTTGATATGAACAAAATCTCCAATGTTATATTTGTCTGCAAATTTTTTATTGTGCTTGGTTAATTGTAATTTTATATTATCATTATATCTCTTAAGAGATTTTGTAGCTATGCCTTGGTAGATTTCGTGTGCTGCTGTTTGTTAAACATTGGTTTTATTTTGAAAAATACATCAAGAAATACATTCAGGCAATTCCAGCTATTTAATAAATTTATTGGAAATTATTTGATCAAATAAAATAACTAATTTATATCTCAATTCTCTCTATTTAAATTTTCTTTCACCTATCTCTTTATCTATTACTTCATTTACCCCTTTACTTATAATTTCATCTACCCCTTTGCTCATAATTTTATTTATTCTTTCATTTGTTTTTTCATATACCCTTTTATTTGTCCTTTTATTTGCCTTTTTGTTAACCCTATTATTTATTCTTTTGTTTGCATTTTTGGTTGCTTTTTTTTTGGTCTTTTTATTCATGTTTGCATTCACTCTTTCACATGTATTTTCATCTATTTTTTTATCTAACACTTTATTTATAGTTTCATCCACCACTTCCTATTCATCTATAATTTTATTTACATCCACCATTTTATCTACCATTTTATTCACATTTCTATTATCTATCTCTTTATCGTCATCTTCTGACTCTTTATTAATCATATCTAATAATTCTTGCTTCTAAGTATAATAATAATAGTAAGATAAAATTATTAGCTAATTTATATATTTAAAGTTAATACTGGTTATATGATTTATGTATTGTGATATCTTTGTAAAAAATTTCATATATACATATATACCTTGGTATTTAAAGCTGCAGCCCTCAACAATAATTCTACAATATCTATATTATCGTGGGGTCTAGATTCTTTGAACCAATTTTCAGGTAGTTTATTTTTAGAATTAATATATTGTCCCTTGATTTTCTTTAATAAATAAAAATAGCACAGAGGATTTTGTCCAAATACTAATATATATAGACTACTTTTAGTTTGTTGAAATAGTTGTACATTTATTGCATCTGTTTGAAATATTATTTAATTTAAAATAAATAAATAAATAAAAGTTTATAACAACACAATAGTATAGCATGAGACCAATCTGTCTTTTGTATATCTTTTATCTATTTTGATATTTTTTGTTGAAAGATATTATTTGCTTGTTTAACTAACCCTTGTGTTTGCAAGTATCTTGGATACCCATTAATAATGTGAACATCTAGCTATATAGCCAATAATTTGTGAATTATTTCTGCTATAAATTCTCATCCATTATCAGACTGAAGAATGATTGGGGCACCAAAGCAGATAAATACATCAAAAAAAAAAATAGCTACTTCAATTGGCCATTTGCTAGTTAGAGCCTAGGCTCAGGAATATCTTGTAAAATGGTCTCAAATATGATATATATAATAATAGTCTCTATTAGGAATGCTAGTCATAGAAATTAAATCAATTTGAACCCTATTAAGGAAGGTATTGAAGATGATTAGCTTTGCAACAACTGGATTTGGAAAACTTCTTTTTGTTATACATGTTGTGCAGTTTTTTATAAATTCCTTAACAAATAACTGTGAAATATAACAATATTGTTCAAAAACCTATAAAAAAAAATTTTAATTAATTTTTTTTAATATCATTCATATATATAATAATAAATATTTTTTTATTATATGTACTGCTTTTCAAAGTTTTAAAGCATCAACATGTTTTAAGACTTCTTGATTATAGATAAAGATGAAATTATTTTGGGCTTTAAAACCCAAAATTAAAATTTGAAAATGATATTGTTTTGACTTACTTTTACTTAAAAGATAAAATTTTTTAATACTTTTTTTGAATAGACAAAATTATAAGAAATATAATTATATAAATTAGATTTGCTCTTTCTTAT